TGGGTTTGATCAGCGAGATGCCCTTATCAATAAAATTGGCCCGGGGCCATTTTGATCTAATTCACTGACCTGTACCCCAGCACTCATGTGGCCATATGGTTAAAGGGCAATCGTCTCTATTAAATCAGTAGGTAAGCAAATACACTTACACATCAAATTGGAAACGTTTTTAAGATTTTACTTTATTTTTAAAAATCTGTATTGTTGAAAGTATTACATATGCCCCTTTTTTTCCTCCTTTGACCCCTGCTAGCCTGCCCCCGCCCCCCAGGCCTCCATCACCCCCTGCCCCAGGCCCCCCCCACCCTATTGTCTGTACCCATGGGTCAGGCATTTATGCATACAAGTTCCTACCCACCCACCTCCCCACCTCCCCCTTCCTTCTGCGATTCCATCGTCTGTCCCAGGCTCCCACGTCTCTGGATCTATTTTGTTCATCAGTTTATTTTGTTCATTAGATTCCACATATGAGTGAGATCACGTGACACTTCTCTTTCTCTGACTGGCTTATCTCGCTCAGCATATCTCCATCTCCATTCATGCTGTTGCAACTTATTTATGTTGTGCTGTCTGTTTTCAAAAAAAAATTGATGTTTTTATTGACTTCAGAGAGAGGAAGGGAGAGGGAGAGAAAGATAGAAACATCAGTGATGAGAGAGCATCATCTATGGCTGCATCCTGTGCGTCCCCCACTGGAGATTGAGCCTGAAACCCAAGCATGTGCCCTGGTCGGGAATCCAACCGGTGACCTCTTGGTGTATGGGACGATGCGCAGTCCACTGAGCCACACCAGCTGGGCTGCCGTATTTCTCCTTTAAAAAAATGACCCCACACCTGTTAGAATGGCATATATATATATATATGTATTCAAGAAATAAGCATTTCCAAGGATGTGGAGAAAAGGGAACCTGGGTGAGTAGTTGGTGGGAATGATGGAGCCACTGTGGAAAACAGTATGGAGATTCCTAAAAAAATAAAAAATAAATTAAAACCAAACCAAACCATATTGTCCAGCGATTCTACTTATGGACACTTATCTAAAGGGAACAAAATTGCTATTTCAGACAGATATCTGCACCCCCATGCTCATTGCAGCATTATTTGTAATAGCCAGGACATAGAAACAACCTTAATGTTGGTTGAATGGGTAGAATAGTGTGGAGATCTATGTATGTAATTCAGCCAGAAAAAGGAAACGGTGCCATGTGTGACAACGTGGATGAAATGTGAGGGCGTTGTGCTGAGGAAAATAAGTCAGATAGGTACGGCATCATCTCGCTTCTAAGTGGAATGAAAAACAAACACGTATGCCCTGGCCAGGGTGGCTCAGTGGTTAGAGTGTTGACCCAGGCACTGAATGGTCATGGGTTTGATTCCTGGTCAAGGGCACGTACCTGGGTTGCAGGTTTGATCCCCGCTTCCGGTCAGGGCACTTGGTGGGGGGACAACCAATCAATGTGGACGATGTTTCTCTCTCCTTTCTCCCTCTCCCTTCCTCTCTCCTTTCCATTCTCTCTAAAGAAGCAATGGAAAGATATCCTCCAGTGAGGATGAATAAAACAGACAAACAAAGAACTCATAGGTACATAGAGCACCACCTTTTGGGCAATATTTGCCAAACCCTCCAACGTTTGAATGGAGCCTCGCATGAAAATCTTAAAAAAAAAAAAAAAAAAAAAGGAGAAGTAGAAAAAAAGTTGGAGATATCGTTGACTCTTCTTTTTCCTGAGCCCCAAGCTGCTGACGCTGCAGGACCAGGGATCAGAAATGAAGTCCGTTCCACATCTGGGAAGTCTCTCCCCGTAGCAGACAGGAGCTGAGCAGCCCTGCCCATGTGACTTTCTGGGGTCAGCTCCTGGATTCTCATGACCCCACCCTTCTCTGGAGGGTCTGTCCTCGACGGTGTGGCTCCTGTCCCTGTGTCATGAGCTTGGGGCAGCTCTGGAGTCCCCGCTACCCTCACGCATAGCCTAGATGAGCGTGAGTCCAAACACAGAGAGCTCACGGGGGAGTGGAGGGGGGCCCGCCCGCCCAGGGACTGGGTTTGAATGAAACAACTGCACAAGGAGTTAAGTATGAGGGCATTCGAAAATACGACCAGCATGCCCCTGGGGTAGGAGTGACAGGCCTGGTCCTGTCCCAGGTACGGAGCCTCCTGGATAGCGCTGTCACTTCAAATTCCAAGGAGCAAATGGATTTTGATTTTTTTGGAAGTTTTTTTTTGGGGGGGGGGGTTAGGTAAAACATTTTTTAAAAATACATTTTTTTTATTGATTTCAGCGAGGAAGGGAGAGGGAGAGTTAGAAACATCAATGATGAGAGAATCAGGGATCGGCTGCCTCCTGCACGCCCCACACTGGGGAGTGAGCCCACAACCGGGGCAGGTGCCCTGACTGGGAATTGAACTGTGATCTCCTGCTTCATAGGTCGACGCTCAACCACTGAGCCACGCTGGCTGGGCAGGGTAAAAACATTTTTAACAATTCTAAGATTCCCATACACTCCCCTTGGCTCTGGGTGAGAGGTGGCATCCAAGTCAGTCACTGGAGTTTTTGCCGAAATGTGCCCCCCTCCAGCCCGGGAGACGTCACGGGAAGACCACGGAACTGGGGACGAAGTCCACACCTTTAGCACCTGCACCCACCCACCTGTTGGGTGTTGCCATTAAGTGTTGGGAACCCTAGCTCCCAAAGCAGGAGAGAACCCCCTCACCCCAATATCACTTCCTGTTTAGTTCTTTTAGGGGGTGATGCATTCCTCTCATTGTCTTAGGTTTTGACCAGATATTAATAGCGGCTGCTTCTATGGACTGTGACTATGAGCATTTGTGTTTTATTTGCACCTTTTCTGTATTGGTCGGAGGGCTGAGCATGTGAGATGCATTTAAAAATAAACAGAACTATATAAAATTCACGCATTGATGAGTAGTGACTGTCCCACCCCACGGAGCAGCTGTAGCTGCACGCTTTATCCACCGTCTTTTCCAGCCTTCTGCAGTGTGAAGGATTTCTGGCTTTATCGAAGGCCCGTTTCTCTCCCCCACCCCCCCACCCGCTCGCT